GCCTGACCCTGTTCCTGCTGCCGCTGATGAACAAGAACTGCCAGTGGCTGATAGAGAAGTTGGTGTAGAAGTTAGAGAAGTTTTGATAGATGGAGTGAAGCTGGACAGCAACTCATCGTTGAACACTTTGAGAGGTGCATGCGACGCCCTTGGACTTTCGAAGGGAGGAGGCAAGGTCAAACTATTGCAAAGACTTTGGGAACACTTGCAAGCTCAAGAACTTATTGCAGCCCACTCTGCAGAACGCAACTTGCAAGGTGAACAGATGAGACCAGCTATAGGCCAACCAGTTCCTGCTGAACCAACGGAAACGCAACGTGCCCAGCACAATTTGGTGCACTACCCATATGCTGCATGGTGTGAACTCTGTGTTGCAAATCATGCCAGGCAAGATGGACATGAACCTCAACCACATGTCGACTCAGGCCACAGTTGTATTTCTTTCGACTTTGGCTATGCTGCACGAAACGATGATGATGACAAAATTTGTGCACTTTTCTTGCATGACAGGCACACTGGTGCCATGCATACGGTGCCTACACCCCAGAAAGGTGGACGTTGGCTCAACCACTTATGCACGGAGTTTTGCAGATTTGTGCTTTGGCTTGGTCATGAAACAATTTCATTGAAATGCGATCAGGAACCTTCGACGTTGTCTTTGCTGAAGGCCGTGAGGAAAACATGTAGGTGCTTGGGAGTCAAAACAATTGTTGAGACTGTTGCCCCTGGCAGCCATGCTTCAAACGGAGCAGCCGAAGTCACAGTGAAGCTACTTCGACGTCAGGCCAATCTGCTGATACAGCAACTGGAACGTGGCTGTGGAATCCCAGAAGGTACAATTGGATGTCAACACCCTTTGTATTCATGGTCACTTCTTCATGCGGCATGGTTGCATAACAGGTACGTTGTGAAACAGGGACACACTGCTTATGAGCTTTGTGCAGATAGAACCTACAGTGGTCGAGTAGCCATGTTTGGTGAATGTGTCTTAGGATACCTACGACAGTCAGCCAAAGGAGCCCCACAATGGACGAAAGGCATTTGGCTTGGGAAAACAATCAACAATGATGTCAACATCGTTGCAGTTCCTGGCAACAACCAACTGTTTGTGACACGTAGTATCAGAAGGTTTCCAAATGCGTGGAATGGTGAGATGATGAGTCAGGTGGAGACCTGCCCTTGGCAATTTTCATATGCCTCTTTAGGTTCTCAGTTGATTTTGTCCAAGAGGATTGCTCCACCAACACCAGCCCCTTTTATTTCAGCTCCTCTCAGGGATGAAGATGCAGAAGCAGTTCGAAATTTGCCGCCCACTCCAGTTGAGGCGCCACACAAACCTGTTGTTTTGCCTGCTCCAGTTTCTGGCGTACCAGCTTTGGAAGGTGATGCGTTGGATGAAACTATGGGACAAGCTGCTGAGGCGGGGTCCCTTCCAAGTGCAGTTGGACTGCAAGTTCCTTCGACTCCATTGGATGGAGCAACACATGCTGCAGGCAGTGCTTTGGAAGCACCTTCGAGAGGCATGGACACTTCTTCAGGTGTCGTGCACCCACTTGAGACTGCATCGGAAGAGTCTGAGAGACCTTCGAAACAAGCTAGAATACTAGCTATCTTTGAGCATGAGGATGCTGAGCACCCCACAACATTTGATGATTGTGAGGTTGATGAGTTGGAAGCCTACGACTTTTCGTTGGACGAAGAGCTGAACAACAAAAGTGATGATGTCAGTGATGCTGCTTTGTTGAAACAACTTTGCTTTCCTTACTCCACTGCTGAACCTCAGCTTAGTGAAAGTGAACTACTTCGAATTGACACCATGGCCGATCACCTTGAAATCTCCAGGTTGAAATCAATGGGAGTCTTACTTCCTGCCGACGGCTATGACTACAAAGGTCAAGCACCCAAAAGACTGACAACAAGGATGGTGAGAGCTTGGAGAGATAAACATATAGATGGACAAAGAGTTTGGCTACGTCGATCGAGATACGTAGCACGTGAGTTTGCTTGGTTGAGTCCAGATAGACAAGATTTGTTTTCACCAGCATCTTCAGTGATCACAACAAGGTTACTGCCTACGCTCTTCATGAAGTGGAAGACTGATGGCTATGTGCTATGCTCAATAGATGTTGGTGATGCTTTTCTAATGGTTCCTCAAGAAGAACTCACACAGGTTACATGCGTTGATGCTTCAGGTGCCACCATGGAGTTTGTCCTCGGCCGTGTGCTTCCAGGCCAGAGGAATGGGTCACAGATGTGGCACGATGCTTTTAGCAGTTTCTTGCGTGACGAGCTGAAGATCACCCCTTGTGATGCATACCCCTGCCTACTTCGAGCTGAAAACTCAGAATGCGTCTTGCTGCTGCATGTCGATGATGTTCTTTGCTTGGTGAAAGAGAACTACCTGAACAACACGTTGGTACCAGCCTTGCGTGCCAAGTACAAGATATCGTTGGATGTAGTTTGCAACGAGGGTGATGAACTTACGTTCTTGAAAAGGAAACATGTGATGGTCAGCCCAAACCAGCTAGCCATACAAAGCCACCCGAAACACCTTGAAAAACTGTTTGAGCTTTTGAAGATCAAACGCAGCCTGATGCCAAAGAAGACACCTGGCCACCCACTGTTGGATGAACCCGACAACTCCAAAGAGTTGGATGCCCAATATGCAAAGATATATAGATCATGTATTGGTATTCTTTTGTATATCTCCAGTGACTACATCGAATGTCAATACAGCATACGTGCGTTGTCGCAGTCGATGTCAAAGCCCACAGTGAACTCGTTTGCATGCTTGCGACACTTGTGTATGTACTTGTTGGGATGCATGGAAAACTGTCTTATTTTGACTTACAAAGGTCACCATGGACTTTTGCACTACACCCCTGAGGACTACACGTTGGAAGTCTTTTCAGACAGTGACTGGGCGAAACACCGCTCAACCAGGAAATCAGTTTCTTCTGGATTCATATTCCTATTTGGGAACTTACTGTATTCAAGTTCACGATCACAGAAAGCGATAGCACTCTCTTCAGCAGAAGCTGAAATTTATGCAGCAACTAGCGCATGCTGCGATGGTGCACTGTTGGAATACTGCCTGTGTTTCATTGTTGGAGGAGAGAACAAAGTGGTCACCTTCATCAAGATGGACAACTCAGCAGGCAGATCCTTCTTTTTACGTTCTGGAGTAGGACGTATTCGTCATGTCAGTGTTCGTGTTTTGTGGATGCAGCAAAGAGTGAAAGAGAAAGGTTTAGTTCCTTCAAAAGTTCCCAGCCGTGAGAACCCTGCAGACTTGGGGACCAAACGGTTAGCAAAGGATAGGATGGAATACCTCATGTGTTTATGCAAAGTATACAACATGGACACCTCTGAGTTTGTTGGCATGAATGCCTATGACAAGATACAAGAACAGGACAACATGAAGGCCAGTATTCGACTTCTTAAAGAACAAGGATATAGCGCCCCCAAACAACTTCTGAGAATCCTCCTTCTCGCCTTGAGTCCTTCGGAAATGGCTATGGCAATCTCTACTGATGCAATTTCAGCTGACCTCAGCCCGAGCTCAAGCTTCATGGACTACAAGAATGTGATGATTGCAACCCTGCTTACGCTGCTCTGTGGTGCATTGGCTGTTTGCTTCTACTTGCGCTTTGCACTGGGAGTTGCAAGAGGCGAGACCTTCGCCAAAGGCATGGACCAAAAGTTGCATCAAGTTTTGGATATACTTGAGTATAAAATGGGCTGGGGAATATATGAAGGAAAAGCTGAAACCCTGCAAGAGAAACGTCGCCGTTACTTGGACAGTGAGATGTGTGAAGTTTCAGACGACGAGTTCTGGCGTCACATCCACTATGGACCACCTCTTGAAGATGAGCATGATCACCCAGAAGGTGAACAATCTGAGTCTCTGCAGTCTGATGACCCTTCAGTTCATCTTTCTGCTCTACCACCTGCAATGCTACAAGCTATGAGAGAAACCAATAGCGTGTTGAGAACCAGGATCGAAAGACTGGAATGTGAATGGGATGATGCCCAGATTCACAACAATAGCTTGCTCATGGCCCAATTGGAAGGCCAAATTCGAGAGGCCCATGCAATGATGTACTCAGACGTCAACGAGACTTAGAGTCTTGGAAATGTTGCATAGAGAATTTTTGAAAATGAAATGGACAGGAAATCCAATGCCCATTTGCTGTACAGGCTTCGATGACAGCCTGATTGGATTTTGAAACGAAAGTTCAGTTGAAATCCATAGGAATCCAACTGAGGCGGGGTGAAGACAATTTCACTCCATAGAACCTAGCATGGATGTGCAGTACAAATGCATATCATTTGATGTCAGTACAGTTTGGCATGGAAACATTTCATGTCATGTCAGTTGTCATACATGTCCAATTTCATGTATATACTATGGATGAATCCGTAGGCGTTTTTGTGCGAGGATCAAAAGGGCGCTGCCAATCAAAAAGGCTCAACCCACCCCCTGATTGTGTGCATAAAAATGGCAAGCAGCCAAGGCCGCTGTTTCATACTACCAAAAACCTTAGGATAAACATGAAAATCCAAGAATAAAAGGCAACCATGTCTGCATGCAAAATGACGATGGTCAATGTTGTTTGACGTTTGAAACATTTGTTTGGAATCGGCGATGTTCAAAAAACTTCAAAGGTTTATAACAACGTTGCCTGGTGTGGGCACAAATTATCACAAACATTTTCAACAAAAGAGACATTGAATTTTCTATTCATATACAACCAAAAATCTTACTTGTAACTGTGTTGTTGCATTTGACAAAAAGGCGTTTGCAAAACAAACCTTTCTTGCTGCTTGGCGTGGTTTCAGAAGAACACACACACACACATATATATATATATACATACAAATAAACAGATAGATAGATAAATTCATGAATAAATAAATAAATGAATAAAAAAATAAATATGTAAGGATGGCAGAACATCTGCGCGTGCGGTTCTTGATGCTTTCCACGAGCCGCTGGGCTCGTAGCTTGCAGCTGTTGGGGCTGCGGTCGGCTCGTCCGACCACTGGCCGCGGCTCATAGGGTCTTGGGCTTTCCGGCAGTGCGAACCTTAACGAATTAATTACACATGAAAAAATGTTGGAACCCTGTTGGGCATTTGGGCTGTAGTAGTTTGTGAAAATCAAAAACGTTTTTTTTTCAAAACAAAACGTGAAATGCGTGCAAAATTGGAAACCTTGCTGTCCCCACACTTGCTCTGTGATAGACTTCATGAAAATTACGCTGATGTAGCAGTGGTAGTTCCCGATCCTGCCAACAAAAACCCAGGCGTTGGGCCCGGCATGCCGTCCACCGATAGATTTGAGGCCGGGGGTTTGGGTTGGAATGACAGTGTCAATTAACTTGTTGAATCGTGTCAATCGTGCGACAGAACATCTTTCAAATTTATATAAGGTAGTTCATGGATTTTTTGTTTTCAAATTTGTAACAGGATTTCATCAGATGCAACTGGTTCCGAATTCCGAGGCATTTCTCCTCTCCATGCACCCATGGAGGCGAGCAGTTCGTGTTTTTGTCATTGCATTTGTCCACGAAAACTGGACCGTGATCAACGCCAATGAAAATCTCCAACCAACATGCAAACAATGGACAAATGGGAACATTCCCTGCACAAGTCATATCTCCAACTCGTTCAGGCGGCAGCCTGAAGATGCCCTTCAAGCAATGTCGATGCCCAAAGATGGGCAGGGTTATATAGTTGAAAATCAAGTGATTGTGTTCTGAGATACATCTACAGATCAATTGAAATGGTGAAAAAAATAGTACATATGCCGTTCTAAGATATTCCAAGTACTCTCACCCCCATTTTTTTGTGGTAAGGAATCTGCATTTTTTACCATGATTTATTTGATTTTCGGTGCTCCTGAAATGCTCCTGTACTCCCCCGCCCCGCGGTGCGGCCATGGGTTCATGGTCGCAAACTTGGATACGAATTGACTGCGGTCTGAGGGCCGAGACGTTGAAACTTCCTTCTGGGCAGGCACGCGCTGGTGGTTGGAATACTGAGGACTCTCCATGAATTTGTGGGTTCAATGATGGAAATTGAGAACTGAAGTCACACGATGGCACGGTTGAGGATTCGTATCCCTTTCTATAATGATGGTGTTGATAGGTGGTTTTGAGATGTTTTGAAAACAGTTCGCATTCAAGTAAATGTGTGGATTCATTCGCAAACAATAGGAGAAAATGAACCAAGCACAGAAGACGAGTTCTTTCCTTTTTTTGCAAATCGGCAAGTCAGGGAGGAATCAGGCACAAAGTTGATGAAATGTAGCCGAAACATAAATCTGAAACCTCACAAGTGAGCAGAACTGTGGATTACATAAACTGCTTCAAAAACGAGTCCCTTGATGTGCAGCAGGTCACGAAAGCAAAGCCAAAGGAAGGTCTGTGGAAAGAAGTCGATGAAAAGCTGACGAAAGAGGCCTGAAAAGCAGCATGCATCATCACATTGCAAACCGCCTGTGGAGATAACTCAGTGATTTGTATGACATGCTATGACATGCCTCGGTTCATCTGGTTCTGACTGGTCTCGTGGGATCATTGGGATCGGGATGAGGATGTCCGTTTTTCCGTGGCGAATCAGAAGTCAGACCCAATCAACAGCTCACAAGCACAGGACTTTTGAATGACCTATTGCCTATTGCTACTTGCTTCATTCTGAAGAGAAAGGAAAACAGTCCTTGAAACTGCTACACTTCCATGTTCCTGAGAAGAATCACCATGATGTGACGACCTGTGAGTTACGAACTTCCCCATCTCCACATGCCATGCCCCTCGCCAGTCGCCTGAAGCAGCGCTGGCGTTGGCAGAAGAGGAACTTGCCAAAGCCAAGCAGGTGGAGCCGGCGGAGCATGGAGCTTCGTTTTGGGCACCGTCAGGGAACCTTTTTGAAACTTCACAGGCTAACAGTCTAACAGTGACTAACAGGCTGCCACTGGCTGCCACTGGCTACCACTGGCTACCACTGGCTACCATTGGCTTACCATGAGTCCCTCGCAGCAAAACCTGAGCAGTTGTGTTTGGACACCAAATTGAAGTATAGTCTTGGAAGTCAACACTATGTGTTGGCGGTCTTTGGATGACTTTCAGCTTTCTTTGTTCAATGGATCCGCTGCTAGACAACAAAGACTCCATATGTGGGTATGCACCAGACTATCCAAAACAACCAGGTAGAATCAATGATAACAGATCATGCCATGGGGCAAAGTGTGTTTGACTATCACAATCACGATTAGGATCCCTACTACGCTTACTCTGAAAATTGCTCCAGATTCGTCTTGTGATCGAGCTTGATCTATACTGTAAACCACTTGCGTTGCGTTTGGTTGCTTTCATGGGCTAAAGGTGCGTCTCTAGAGATAAGGGCAACACATGTATACATGTTCAATGAACATAAACTGTGTACGTATATTTCCACACTAGCAATGCAATGCAATTTTCAACCCCATTTCATGCTTCATTCCAATTTCTAGCATCACCCTCAGAGCCACATGAACAATGCAACAAAGGTTCTACCAAAGGAGAGGTACTAGCTCAATTAACAGCTCACTAACTTATTTTGCACACCGCTTTTGAGCCATGGCTGGTCACAGATCACGATCAACAGCGCGATACTCAGCCAAGTATATCCAACATGTCATTCCGGGGCAAGTACTTGGCTCAGCTGGCTGTACTTTGGGAACCTTGGAGAGGGGAAGCTCTCAGCCATTTGAGGTGGTGATCGTTGGTGCAATTTACATCGCATTGAGAGCGGCACTTTCAGGCGTTGGAAGGGATCATGACGCATGCAGTTGAATTCTTTGCAACCATATTTTCTTGCCATGCTACAGAGGTTGATCCACCTACGTAGGTAGTGAACATACCGTACCTTCAAATGTACCCGGACCTTTAACCACTTTTTGGATCTTTTTGGGAGAAGTTAATTGCTCCCCAAACAAGCTTTCGACTTGCCAAATCTGCGGATCGAATCAGAAACCGAAGCCTTTCAATATCTTACAAGCTTCTGTTTCGAATCAACCGGACTGGCCTTCAGTTGCGGAAGAGACTGCCACTGATGCTGCAGGATCACCCAAGAGCACAGCCTTCAGTGTTGGCAAACTTAGAGCTGCCAGGGCCCAATGATGTGTAATACTTTGTTTGGTTTAGCCTGATCAGTAGTGGTGTGCAGCCTTTCTGCAAAACTAAGGATGACTCTGCTGCTTCGCTCTCCAGCAGAAGAGTGCCTTGGTGCCCACAAGCTTGAATCACCAGACAGCTAGACCATCAGCTGAGCAGCCGAGTGTCAGAAAGTTCACTTTTCCAGTTTTGATCCTTTCTGATCCGGCTCAAACAAGACGACACCACTTTGGACAACGCATGCCATGTGGTTGTGTGAATTTTGTGATGGGCAGTTTCCAAGCCCTGCAGACAATTTGCCATTGAGGAACATATTCCTTTTGTGCACGGCCCATGTTTTGTGCTCTGCAACTTTGAATGAGTAGTTTGAACGCATCTTAAATGACCTTGTTGCCTATGAAAGTATTATGCGCCACATGGGTGATACAGACAATTATCCTGAACTGGTTGTGCATTTCGGATCAGCGCCACACACTACAGAAGTGTTTATCATGACCGCAAACTCTCTCGTCTCAGAGCTATAATTTCCAACAGAAGTGCTTGTTCGGTTTCCTGCGTTCTAATCTCTGGCACGTCCAAACCGCTCAAACTGAAATGGAACCTTGGGACCCTGGAACCCTTACTGCTGTTGGGTTGCAAAGCTAGGTTGATTCTTGCGTGTGTTTGTTGAAGTCTTCCCTCCACAACCGTCAATACCGTCATCTTGAGGACACAATACAGGTGGCTACTTCCTTCGCCGCCTCACTCGGTCTGTCGCCGTTGCCAACCTTTGCCGAGGAGCCATGGGGGCCAGCATGGCATGGCGGGAAATGTCACGCGTAGTTCTCGTGAAAGGTGAACAAAACAACTCTCTGGCGCGTTTTCGTACAAAAGGTACAGGTCTCTCTCTTGTACTCGTTTTGCAACACCGGACGCTGGACCGGTTCTAAGCATGCAACCCAGGAGGCAAAGGACGAAGCAAAGCCCCCACCGCGCGGTTGGCAGATGAAGCTGCCAGAGGCCACGCATCATTTGTGATCCCTGAAAAGGATTGGAAAAGGTGGTTTGTTTGCCATTTTGTTTGGCAAACCCCAGTGTAGGCACCCAGCCACAACAATTCATATGCGCAAGGCATGCGCTGTCTTTCGCATCTTTCGCTCAGGGCTGGCAAATCTTCAGACAATTTGGTGTCCCTGGAGGTGACGAGATGAGGACCAAGGAGACAATTGTGACTGCGAGTGATGAGACGAGTGATGAGAGGGGATTGGCTTGATTGTAGGATTGGCTTGTATTGGGTGGACTGCCAGTGGACTGCTAGATACTGCTAGCCTATTTCTGCAGTTATATACAGAAGTATGGATCGCAGCTACTCAGCCCACTGAGAGAGTGGAGGTGTGGATATGCTGCATCAAAGGCCCAAGCACGTACTTCTCCTATCTTCTCCCTTTCAACGCCGTTCACTGCCCTTGCCAATACTTCCAAACAAGCTGCATAAGGAGTTGCTCTTAGCAGGGGATCCCTCCAAGGTGCCTTGGGCTTGCCTGTGAATCAAAGCAACAAAGTCAAGCTGATGGCAGTACAACGTGTTCATAGTTTCAGAGAGGTGGAAGCAAAGGTGAAACCAGGCACCAACTCCATTTGTTCATAGAGTGCTGTGCCGGTTGCAGCGGTTGGGGCGGTTGCGGCGGTTGCGGCGGAAACATTGCCTCTGCCTGTAGATCTGACCCAGGGTGCAGAAGTAAAGGTCCTTCGAATTCCTCTGCAGACGACTCCGCCTCTCGGCATTTGTGTCCTGAAGAACAGGTGAAGAGATGAAGTCAGATACTCTAAGAAATCTAAGATAATCTAAGAGAAAAAATATCCAAATCCTGATGGAATGAAATTGATTGGATCAACATAAAGTTCAATCAGTTCAATCATCACACACTTTGCACACAGGCAGGATCCTGACGGGACTGGGGCCTTGACTTTGATCGAGTACTTCCAGATTCCCTTTCCGAGGTGGGAACTCAAGCAGTGAATGTTATTTGTATTTATTCACGTCGCTTCGCGACGGCAACCGCCCGCACCGCATCGTATATCGAGTGAACGGTCCACACTGTTAATGATGTCAGCCATTGTCGCTCCGCGACAAGAACCCCTGTGCGGCCGCCACGGTTTGAACGATGTTGTTCTCACACCTTCGCGACCGCTCGTAACTGCCAATGATGTCGGCCATTGAGACCAAAAACATCCGAAAGTACTGATTGTCGGAAAAAAAAAACGCGAAGAATTTGATAGCCATGTATAGCGGACCAACGCAGTTCAAAAAAGAACGAAAAACATGAAAAAACGGCGAAATTGCTGTTATTCACGTCGCTTCGCGACGGCAACCGCCCGCACCGCATCGTTGGGCTCACACAGCAGAGATATATCTATATATATATATATAAAGATCATATATGTACATATTGAGTGAACGGTCCACACTGTTAATGATGTCAGCCATTGTTCTCTTCTACTGCCATTGTTCTCTTCTATTGCCGTCGCTCCGCGACAAGAACCCCTGTGCGGCCGCCACGGTTTGAACGATGTTGTTCTCACACCTTCGCGACCGCTCGTAACTGCCAATGATGTCGGCCATTGAGACCAAAAACATCCGAAAGTACTGATTGTCGGAAAAAAAAAACGCGAAGAATTTGATAGCCATGTATAGCGGACCAACGCAGTTCAAAAAATAACGAAAAACATGAAAAAACGGCGAAATTGCTGTTATTTACAGTGTTTTTGCGCGGTGAGAAGCAGAAACCACTGCAAATACCATGGTTTTTGAGGGTCAGGTGGCCAAAAACACTGTAATTTACAGTGTTTTTTTAACCAACGTCAAAAAACACTGGTATTTACGATGTTTTCATTCACACCGTAACATAAAACAGCGTAATTTACGAGGTTTTTGGAAGTTTTGAAGCTAGCCGTCAAGCATGCAGAAAACAGAAAAACACTGTAAAAACCAGTGTTTCTGCTATCACAAAACGACGAAAATCAGTCCGAAAACGGGTCCAAAAACTCAAAAATCCGCCTCCGGGCCAGGCCACCTGCGGAACCGCAAAAAAAGATGTTGCAAACCAAAAAATTGAGGTCAAAAAGTTGAAAAACACGGGTTTTTACACTTTTCGCTTGCCGATTTTGGACGGGCGCGTTCACGAACAGGTGTCTTCCGTACTGTTTTTTACAGTGTTTTTTGAAGGCGAGCGTCACGACCTATCAAAAACAGGAGGTTTTGGCCGAATAATGGGCCCCCCCCCCCCAGGTAAACCTGTAACCTTTTACGAGTGCCATCCGGACGATCACGCCCCAGCACCTTCGGTGCGGGCGGATTTACAGTGTTTTTGCACGGTGAGAAGCAGAAACCACTGCAAATAGCATGGTTTTTGAGGGTCAGGTGGCCAAAAACACTGTAATTTACAGTGTTTTTTTAACCAACGTCAAAAAACACTGGTATTTACGATGTTTTCATTCACACCGTTACATAAAACAGCGTAATTTACGAGGTTTTTGGAAGTTTTGAAGCTAGCCGTCAAGCATGCAGAAAACAGAAAAACACTGTAAAAACCAGTGTTTCTGCTATCACAAAACAACGAAAATCAGTCCGAAAACGGGTCCAAAAACTCAAAAATCCGCCTCCGGGCCAGGCCACCTGCGGAACCGCAAAAAAAGATGTTGCAAACCAAAAAATTGAGGTCAAAAAGTTGAAAAACACGGTTTTTTTTCACTTTTCGCTTGCCGATTTTGGACGGGCGCGTTCACGAACAGGTGTCTTCCGTACTGTTTTTTACAGTGTTTTTTGAAGGCGAGCGTCACGACCTATCAAAAACAGGAGGTTTTGGCCGAAAAATGGCCCCCCCCCCCAGGTAAACCTGTAACCTTTTACGAGTGCCATCCGGACGATCACGCCCCAGCACCTTCGGTGCGGGCGGATTTATGTTGATCAAGCCTTGCTGTGCCTTGAGTGTACTCCAAAGCAAGAACACACACACACACGTACTCACAATCCCTGCAGAATATCAGCTCATTCAGTTTGGATCACTTCCAAAGTCTTGATATGATATTGATATATTATGATGTGATGCATTGTTGCCCGCTTGTCAAGGGTCACCAGAAAGTCAGTTGTGGAAGTTCCATCCTCAAGAGTCGGTGGTATGGAGGTCAAATCAGCTGCTGCTGCTGCTGCTGCTGCTGCTACAAAGAACAATTTGAAACAATCCGCAATGACAGGAAATGGAGTTTCAGTCAGAGCGAGTTACATTCAGCAATGTTCAGACATGTTCAGCAAGAGATCCTCGAAACAGTTCGGATCCGAAAGTGTATTTTTGCTGTTTGCCGTTTGCTGCGCTGCAAAGGAGTGCAATGTCATGAATTCTGATAATGCTGGCCTGCTGAGTCTTTGAGCAAAGCCTTTGCTCGGCAAAAAGCCACCTATGCCTTCGAGCTGGACGGTGGGAGGGCACAATGGGCGAAGGACACATTTGGATCGAAAAGAAATGGGAACATTATGGGGACTATGGGGACTATAGGACTGTCATGGAACTGTCATGGACTGTCCCTTGCAACTTTCTCCACATGAAAGATGATGACGTGGCATGGCTTGTCTCAGTGACTGCCTTGCCGTAGGTGATGGCGAAGATAGGGCACGGCCGCCAAGAGAGAGGACGACTTCAGAGATTCTCCAGCTTTCAAAACGGTCATTACAATTCTGTGTATTCTGATTAAACCCCAGTCTTCATAAAAGTCTTGAGGTCCAAGACAAGCAGAAGTACATGCTGTATGAGTTTGACCTGACCCGCTGTGAGGGTCGGCAGGTGGGGGCTTCTGGATGCTCCAAATTTGGGCTTTGAGTCGCCTCAGACCATGTTGCATAGGGATGCATAGGCTGCATAGGGATCGAGTCACCTGGTCGGCAGGTGTTTGGTTCCAACGGCAAGATCTGTCAGAGGCGATGATTTCCGCATGTTCTTGCAGTTGAGGAGCTGAGGAGCAATCACATAAAAAAGGAATGACATCAAATTCTGGAACTTTGTTTGTACAGCTGAAAGAACAAGGCCGATTGTTGGCACGTGTCTGGGATGCAGGGCCATTAGGAGATCTACCTTTCATTTATCTTTCAGCCTCTGACCAGGTCTGACACTGGGGAGGTCCTTGACACAAAGAAATTTCATCACCTCAACATCAACACAGTCACGCCAGAGTGCTGAACTCAGAAGACTCAGACTGTCTCAGACTCTGCACGAAGTTTTTAGAGTTGCGAAACCATATGCACTTTGTTTGAGGGGTACAGATGGAGATTGCGGCCGCATATGGTCCTTTAGATCAAAACATATCAAAACTAATCCCTTATTAAGTGCAGGTTTGCTATAACCCAGTAACAGCACCGATTTAGTCACGACAGCCACTGCCCAGACCTTTGCTAGCAGGCCCACGCAAACTTCCCGTGAAGCCTTCGCGGAGGCTTGGTGGTAAGGGTAATCCTTCCATCATATCACTTCATATAGGGCAAAGATTCGGCAAAGATGGGAATTGAGGTCGGTCTTTGGCTCCTTGCAGTTGCAGATTGCTGATTGAAGTTTAGAGCGTTGGGAGGTGCTGTGGATTGTGGACATCTCTGCGCCAGCAGAGAACTGGAAAAACTTGACCTCGACGCTGGAGCTGCAAGAAGTAGCTGCCACATCCAGTGGATTGGATGAATATGGAGAAACAATGATATATTGTATATACATTATATATATATATGAATATAAACAGATACACATGTTTATCATGTTTGCATATCTTTTGCACAACTTTTTCCGCTTTTGTTTATGTTTGGGTTGGATCTCACAATGGTAGTCGTCTCATAGATCCTGTAGACCTACTTTGCACCGTCGGGGCACAGAGAACCTTTCTTCCCATTAGCCTTCCGCAGACCTCAGGGCAGTAGGCACGATGGTGAAGACCTTTACCGTTGGAACCGCCGCTTGGACAAACTTGAAAAGAGGGTGTAGCAGACCTGAAGAACAACGACCCAGTTTGTGAATCGCTTTGTGCACTGATCTCACATTGACCTCTAATCAGTAAAAGATAAACAGCATGTTGATCTTGGCCTTTGCTTCTGATTTTTGTGCAAAGAAGCAAAAGGCATGAGGGTTGCAGAGTGGCTGGACTTTCAATGAATTTGAACTCGAAATTTTGAATTTAGAGTATCAAGCCAGGCACCTTCTTTCAGTCATCCTTTTGCTGGAATTTTGCTGAACGTTTGTTCGTTGTTTTGCATTTTCTGTCAGGTAGAGCAATTGAATGCTGGGCGCAACAGCACGTCGAGCTGAGTTATCAGTTTCAGACCCGTAGAAATCATGCGCGATCTAAAAGGCTTTCTGCTGGTTGCAAACTGTTTCAACCTGTCTTTCTTAAATGCACCTTTTTTTAAGGAATGGAACCACTCAGGATAAATGTGTAGGTGCGATCATTCGATAGCCAGTTGGGTACAGAACTTGTGTGATGAATCCTTCTACAAATTGGCGCCCGTGCAAGAATCAGATTTGGGATCTGTTTTAGTTTCACGGTGAACCTCCAGCCCTCTCTGGATCAACTGGGTAACGGGCCAGGCTGGAAACAAGAAGGCGCAAGCATTAGCGATGTATTTGGCCATCCACGTGAAGGTCTACCAAGAAGATCGCACCGTCAGAAGCCGAGCGCACAATGTGAGGGTCAATGCATGGGACAGTTCTGGCGAGGGTTGAACAGTTTCATCATGTTTCATCCCTCAGAAATTCCATAAGCCCGACAACCATCTACAACCCAAAAACAAAAGCAGTGCGGCATGCTGCAGCTTAGCGTGGATAAGAAATGATAAGAACACCAAGGCAATCGAAAAGCTTCCCGCAAGCCTCAAGGAGGTCTCCACGCTCTACAAAGAGGCGAAACATGGCGAAACGGCGAAACGGTGAAACGCAAAATGTCTCCTGGGTCCCGGTGGTCCCGGTGGTCCCGGTGGTCCCGGTGGTCCCGGTGGTCCCGGTGGTCCCGGCCGCTTGCTTTGCCATGCAGTGTGGTCAGTGATCTCCTCGTGCATCAGTCCCCGATCCAATGCGAGAATTTGCGTTTGACTTGTGGATCTCTGGAATAGCACGCAGCACACCAATCTTTCCAGCTCTCAGCATTCCACGTTTGCTAAAAGTGAGTCTCGGACTGACTGGCAAATCCCGACAGCATCCTACTGTAGTGCTTTCAAGATGTACTTGATCCACGTGAGAGGCCGGGGATGTCATGGAAGAGGAAGATGTAATGAAGGACAAGGGCTATGGCGGCTATGAGTTATGAGTCAAGTTGGAATGATCCTGCTACATGGGAGACTTCCATGGCATGGCATTCAGTTGAAAGGTCGATGTCGACCATTTTTAAGCGTGCTTATGAATCTTATCGGCAAATCCTTCAGCCCACTGTTTTATACATGTATTCCATGGATTTCCATGGTATTCCCGGCACCTCACCAGGTGGGTTTTGTTGGTCCTCACCTGTAAGGCAACTTGGACCAGGCCGCTGGTTCCCATACACCTCCACAGGACATCTTGGAGTTTCACCTTGCAAACTCCCAACGGGATGCAGTGGTGATCTCAGCTTTGAGTCTGCTGATTCTGATTGGTGCCGAATAGGAATGAGTGGACACAGGTCTTGTCCGACCAAAAGAAGCAGTGAAAGTTAATACATCGAGATGTTTGGGCCCACATCTCCCAACTAAAAACACGTAGAGGCAATCTTTTGACTCCAGACACTGCCAGACACTGCCTCCCAAACCTAGAGAGAAAGCGCAACGACATGCTCGCATTGCTCGAATCCCCTCAGAACTTTCCTATGCAAAAAGTCAGAGACGGGTGGGTGCCTTGCAAATCCATTCTTTGGTTGTATCGAGTGTTTGGTCCTACATGGGTTGGGAGAGTATGTTGGTATGTGGACTCCCATTCTTGTACAGCAAGGTTTTGAGATTTTGGTGTGGCAAGAAACTTGTATAAGGACATGATTGCATTTTGTTTTTGTTTGATGATTTAAGCGCGCGCTGACATTTCTATGATTTTTTGACCTGTGTCCCTCATGGCGTATGATTTGGATTTTGAGGAGAGACCACTTTTCTAGTTTTGTACCTGCAACCCCGCCGAACTTTGGGGAGATTCATTTGCCTCAAGACTTCGGACCGGCAATTTGCATGTTTGCTCCAAGGCAGCAAAAACTGAGGAGGAAATTCGTGATCGTGTCCGCTCTAGCAAGAAAGAGGTGGGACGGTGAGAGCCATCAGTTATTGCATGGAAGATATGGAAGACATGCACCTTGTCACACGTGCGCACACACACAAACATGCAAACAGGGAAGGACCTTGCTCTGCATGTCCCCTTGATTTTGGTTTCACAAGCCAGAAGGTGAAAGCAGATCTGAGTTGAGGGGACCATGAAACTGACAACGACAATAAGATTCTTTAGGTTGCATTTGCTGTTTTGCTGTTCTCTGCTGTCGGTACTCTTGCTACTGGGTGAGCACATGAATGTTTGCATGTTTGGTGTTGTTGTCCTTGTTTCCAAACTGTTGTCGGTGGGGTTGGTGGGAATGGGGTGAGCCTGATGGTCACAAGATGAGGATGAGGACAAGAATGTTTCATAATTCAGGATGAATTCATCATCTGGTTGCAACAAAGCCTTGCATGGGTCCAGGAGGCACCGTGCCTGCTCCGAGTGGCGGCAGTGTTTTATTCCATGGGTGCTATGGAGGGTGCCAGAACGCTGGTTGAAGAGGCCCGTTGTCGAATGGGTTCAGAATTCTGCAGATGCTCAACTAGACTCAAGGATTTTATTTTCCGAAATCATCCCAATGATCTTTTGCCATTTTTTGCCTGTCTCTGTTCGGACAACCTCTGTTGCATGAGCTACTGAATACTGTAGGAGCCTGCGGCACACATTTGAGCCCCTGCCAGTATTGCTCCTGTAGGCTGTGGCTGGATTCTCCAGCTTGGGTGACCAGGCACGGCTGAAACTTTGTTTGTGATTGAATATATTGAAGTACTTTCCTGGAATGGTTGGAATAACTTACACTTGTGGATACCCTATGCCCCAATTGGCCAGGCAGGGCAGGTGAAGTCTCTTCGCTCATTGGCGGTGCTGTACCTGTCGCCGCTCTGCTGTGAAGAAAGGGACACTTTGGTGTCCGCCGGGGGGGATGAGTCTTCTCATGATCGGTGACAAAGACGTCATTCCATTTTTTGTGCTTGTGGTTCTACGCCTTCAAAAAGGTGAAACTACGTTCTTGTTCTGGGGATGCATTTGTCTTTGCTGAATTCTCGATTGAGGCAGCAAAAGTTCAATGACGCCCTCACAGCCGGGGCCACGGCGTCAATGTTGACATATGTTGACAAGCGGCTTTTAAATGTGAGTTTGGATGAAGAGAAGATGACTGGGTCATGGATCGATACAAATCAACGACTAATTATGGTTCTACTACGGCAGCTTGCGCCTGCACCCTATGGCAGCTATGTTCCTACTGATTTCGAGGTATACCACTATTGCAGGTGACAATGTGGGGCTTAGCTAGTATCCTGCACTCGAGCGGGCTGTGGGCTTGACACTCTAGGCTTTGGAAAAAGCACTCATCGGGACCGCAGTGGAGAAGGCATTGCGGGGGTCCAGGTGCTGAGTGACCAGATGACCTAAGCCACGTAAGTTCAGAATAGTTCAGAATACTTCAGAATAGTTCAGAATAGTTCGGAATTTTGATGAGCACAATGTCAGCAGGCCAACATTTGCTACGCGCAGTCGCAGATCTATGCGGCCATGGGTGGCAGCAAAGGCCGGGGACTAGCAGAGCCCACTCAGCATGCAGTGCATTTTGATGAGTTCCCCAACGGAAGAGAGCACCTAAGTTTTAAGAACGATTAAACACTATGAAACATGTACATCAGTTTTGGGTGGATTGAAAAAGCACCTGTTCATTTGCAGATGAGTCGCTGAGGCGTTAGCAGCGCCATTGAGTCCATGCAGAAAGCCAGAAGCTTCATGCAAGAAGGCAAGAACCAGGCGACAGCTGAGATATGCTGAGATACCAAGATGATTACCGGGTTACAGGGTTGAGATGGGTGGGTGATGGGTTGACAATGTTCGGTTCAGTCTCCTTGATCCCCAGCCTCCGAGACCCTGCGGTCTCCTGCTTTGTGGCTGAGTGCAAGCCAACATAGGGCGCTCAACCGTGAAGAATTTGAAGAGGGCTTGAAACAAAATCAAACCAGACCTTTGGGCCTTTAGGAAAACACGTTTCTTTTGCAAGTACTAGATGCAAAACAAACATTGTCCAGCTGTGTTCAGTTGACGGTTTCCACTCTGGCCTTTTCTGTGGTTTGTGACAATGTCCCTGGATCAGGATGGCGAGCTTGAATGCTTGCAGATCATCTCCGAGTTGCAGCTGAGCTCACAGAAAGCCACTCGTCCGTCGGATTGGCCTTCGGCATTCGTTCAGTGTGAAGACATCACTGTCCATCACAGGACAAACTTCCTGCTGCTGAGCTGTTTCATGCATGTTGATGGAGTCCATATGAGCTGGGGGCTCCATTTGACCCGCCTCAGGGTGACTCCGCGTTGGCCACTGGACAAGAAGCCCTAGCTGTCACGCAGGCAGCTAATTGTGATGAATGCACGAAAGCATGCTTTGGTTGATTTCATTTCTAAGTTCTAGTTTATCTCTGATACATACATATAATATATAATTTACAATCATATAATAATATAATCATATATATATATATATCATATATTAGGTATATTTCGATATTCCATGATATTCTGATCTACAGTTCAGCTTGGAACAAGTCTGGTGTTCTAATGTCCCTTGTCCCTCAGGCCAGTGGCAACAAATCCAAGGAGGCCAGCTGAAACCACGTTTTAGAGCTGACCACCAGGTTGGCTGTTAGAAACCTGTTTTAGATTGTTTTAGAGCTTCTTTAAGAAGTCTTTCTAACTACTTTTACAGGAACTTGTACTGTTGGCCAATCCTCCTGTTTCCTAGATGTTGAATTTGCAGTTTGGAAGACATCATCGCCTGACCCCAACAGTCTTTCTCTATACCTCCCCAGGCGGCTGCTTTGCTACGCTTGGTCTCGGCTTGTTTGTCTTCACAGAACGAAGCTGAAGCTCTGAAGTATGCGGAGATGGCTGAGATGAAGGTGGAATCAAAGTATGATGGGATGGTCATGTATCCAAGACTGGGTTCCATGTGCCCACAAAAAGATTTCTACCAGAGGATGGCATGCCATCCCGCGTAAACAGAGCTTGGACAGTAGGACAGGTGGAGCAGTGGTCTAGGAATGCTGCTGCTCTGATGTCTCGCTTGAAACCGGCAGGCAAAGGAAGCTGACGACATTGAGAAGGAAGCCCAAGCCACCTCCAATGTGGCAGAGATCCTGTTGCGCAGGTGCCAGATCTTGACTTTGCTGAGACTCAACACGAACCGCTGGGGAGAAAAACAACTTATATATATATATAGTTATTTTCTTTGGCTCTTTTTCTATGGTGCCAACGTGGTCGGCCTGCCAGGGGTGACAAAGTGGGTGCCATCAAGAGGTCCAAAGAGCAGCTGGCCAGATGTGTTGAAAGGCCCACCGCCAGAGAGTGGAGTGGCGGTGTCTTCGATCAGAGCTGTTTCTATTGCAAGGAAGATCAGCTCCCACAATTCAAAACGCTTTGTAAGTAAGTCTTGCGTAAGCAAGTCTTGCTAAACAGCTCAACGACTTGCCTAATAACACAGGAATAACTGAATAAGTTAAGGTATAAGGGGAGGGAGAGCGTGAACACTTTGCTGATGGTTTGGTGATTTAGGTTCTGGAACTGTGTGGCTTAGAGCGCTTGCAGTGACCTCTGTGAACATTTTCAGGAAGCACTCTGCTGGACAAGCATCAGCCATGGTGGTGTCTTGTCGTAGAGGGATGATGGGATCTTGGGCTCGAGATTTCTGAACTGAAAGCGTAGGCATTGCGGGAATTGTGGCTTTGTAGCCCGCCCACACCTGGAAAGATGTTTTCTGAACTGTTTTGAGACCTTTACAGTACGCAACGTTGCTTCAATCCTTGTGGCACATGCTACGTGGAAAGTTCAAAGTTTGCAGCTACATGACTTGTTTGTTGAGAATACAGAGCGCAAACTATTGACTAGCAGCAATTTGCTAGGTCCTGCTAGGTCCTGCTAGGTTGTCTCTGTGATGCAAACTTGAAAGGAAGCAGCATCATTCAGCGTCCAAGTTGCCCAAGGTCCTGGGCCAAGCTTTGCTGGCTGAAAACCAAGCAAGTGCTGAAGGGATGCGCTACCTGCAGGTGGGGAATGCCCTCACCATCCCTGACTGTTCGGAAGGGCTGTGTCTGGGTTTACGAGTTGACACGTGATCCATCGAACAGAGCTTTCTTAGAGCGGACAGGAGATTAGGAGATTGGAATCCGTTGAGTTACTTTGAGATGACAGGCATAATTTCAGCTTTCATATCTTTCATGACTATTTTGGTGTATTTGAGCTCTCAAGTTTGGTTTGGTTGTTGTGTGATGGTACTGGTCTCAAATGTGGCAAAGGACCCTGGGAAAAATGTGCCGGGCTTCGGGAGCAAATAATTCATCTGGTGTGGCAGGCCGCCTTGGGAATCTACAAGGAGTCTGATGACTTCGTTGGATTGTAGCGAGAGTCTTAAGACAGCAAGCAGCACATAGCAGCACTCTCAAAACTGCAACTCTTGGAGACTCAAACGACTTTGAAGGAAAAGGACATGAAAGGACTTGAAAGGAGAAGATGCTGTGTAGCTGTAGTCGCGTCATGTCAAGCGTACATAGATCATGGGCCATATGGATGTTCTCTGAGCTGCCAGTTCTGCACACTTTGCGCTGGCCAACGGCTACTTCACCCGTGGCGACCTGGAAGATGGTCTGTGCCATGCTCGAGAGGTGCCTCCCTGTGCTGCTATAACATTTGTAAGACTTATGACGACTTAACTCGTATGACTTATGAGTCGAGATGAGTTTTCAAGAGATTCTGGATAGATCGGATTTGCTCCTTGGCTCAGCTGGCTGCCAATCCCGGCAGTGTCAAATGGCCTAGTCACTCCGGATTCTCTGGTCCGCGCCATTCCGCGCCCAGTGCTCATGGAATTTGGCTATTGGAAGATCCGAGGTTTGGGTGCGCCCTTCCGCATGATTCTGGAGTACAAGGAGGCCAAGTATGTCGACAAACAGTACTCCACTGGTGAGGATTGGTTCAAGGATCGAAAACCAGCCATTTTGGCCATGAACCCTTTGGCAAACTTGCCATACCTGGTCGATGGCGACAACTGCATTTGCCAGACGAATGCCATCCTCAACTATTTGGGGGACAAATATGGCATGAATGGCACCACTGAAGCGCAGAAGATTCGAACACAGGAGTTGTTGTGTGAGATCTACGACGTCCGCAACGGCATGATCTATTTGTCCTACCCTCACAAGAATGCGGTGAGAAACCAAGCAGAGTTCGATGCCAAAGCAAAAGAAATAGTGGGCAAAGCACCCTTCGCAAAGTTTGAAAGTCTGCTGGCCTTCAAGGACAACCTCAGTGGTGGCAAGTGGTTTGTCCTGAAAGACGGCCCTGGTGTGGCCGACTTCCATATTTGGGAGATGTTGGACCAGCACAGAATGCTGTCTGAATTTATCGGAGGACCTGACATTTTCGCTGAGTTCCCCAAGTGCAAGGCCTTCTATGAGGCCTTCAAGACCTTGCCGACGCTAAAAAACTATTTTGCCAGCGAGGCCTACAAAATGGAATTGAACGCCCGGGGTGCGAATGTCTACTTTGCTTGAGCTCGCCGAGCTCGCTTTGACACCTGAGGAGAGTTTTTGTTGGCTAAACCGACCTAAAATCATACTGGCTGTGCTTCAAGATTCATTTGTGTGACAACTTCGGCTTTGGATCCCTCAGAAAGCTGAGAACTGCTTGGACATATAGTCTGTCCGCTTCTTATTTTGTTCAGTGCAGATCAAAGGTTTGTTGCGAAAGATATCGCTCCTGCAGAAAACACATCCTTTGCATAAATCTGCGAGCCGCCTTCAGAATAGTGTCAGACCCTTCACAAGTGCCTGTCCTTTTTTAGCTCAAGAACTAAATGGACAAATGACATAGTATGATAAGCAAATCAAGACATCAATAAAAAAATCATTTTCTCAACCCACCCAACGAACCTCCCTGGCTCCAGGTGTTGAGCTGCTGCCGCCGCAGTGGCGACAAGGTCAACGAGGTGCGACAACCTTTGTGCACCATAGGTTGCACATAAAGCTAGAGACAGTAGAGACATGAGGATGTATCAGATATCAAGATCATCATGCCAGATCATGCCAGCTTAATTTCCTACACTGCCGAAACTGTGGTTCTATCGATCTTCAGGAGCTTGTGAAGGCAAACATCGAGCGCGCGCGGCAGATGACTGCCGATTTCTCAGGGCACCAATGATTTGGGACGGGCGTCATGGATATGGCATGCATGGCATGACACCGAGGCACAGCTGCGGATGACAACTCCCAAGAGGCCCAGTTGCGGCCTCCAGGGGAGACTGATTAAGCTATATTAATTAAGCTATATTAATTAAGCTATATTAAGCTATATTGAGCTTAGGTTTTAGGAGTTGATATTGGATTGTTGCAACTTGGATTGCAAATCCCAGTCTGTCCTGGCAGCAATTTCAGCTAGGGATGTTTTGCTTTTGGAAATCAAGAGAAACTGTCAAAACGAACAGGAGGTCACAACGCGTTCAAGACAACCCATATTGATTGCATCAGTGAATGGCAAGTGCCAGGCCCAGCATTGAGAATTCAGGCGCATTCCAAGCAGCGTTTGTCAACATGGGGATCGTAAATGCCTCGTAATGGCTGCCGGGCTACCGATGTTTTGCAGCCTTATTCCTCTAACCCCCCGCATATAGCATGGCAAGGCTTGAGAGCTAATCAGATTCGGCTTGATTTGCTGCAATTTGTTGTGCTTGTGGATCACAAGATATCCCAAGTTGAAAATCGTGCTTTGATTTGGAGATTTTGGAGGTATTCTCTTGTCTCCTGCTGGGCCTCAAGCATGCCATCTTAGACATAGTCGTGCTGGAAGCCCAGGAGAATTGGTATCCTTGGCTCCCGAGAAGCCTGCTTGGGTGAACAAACAAAAGTCATTGAGGGTGCTTGGAAGCTGCTTTCATTTTGGTAACTTGATTCAACTTGATTCCTTTGCAGCTGCAACATCGACTAAATTCGACTAAGGTTCCCGGCTCTTTGCTGGATATTGTGGCCTCCGGCAGAAACTACTGGGGTACGCCAAGGAGATCACCATGGACTGGTGATGATTAGTGACTACTTAGTGACTTAGTGGATTGTCCGACGTCTGATTCGCTAGGGCTGCTACGGTGTCCAGACGCTGCCAGCACAAGATTTTTGTTGATATGTCGGTTGATGGCTGTAGGATTGATCATTGATCTCATTTAGATTTTGGAACTCCCTTACTCTTTGGTATGTGGCGTTGCACCCTTGGTGATTGTGAAGTGGGAAAGCACGCAGATCGCTGCAGATCTTTCTCCAGGACAGTAGTAGATGCTGCTTCTGCCTGGACCTTAGCTGCCTTAGCTCAACAAAATGTTGGCACCGGCGCGGCATAGATGGTGCGAGATGATCTCCCCAATGTTGCAATGTTTCAGTGCTATAGATGCTATAAGCATTGCTATATGATGCTATAGGCTATAGGTTTCACCATGTTTCACCATGTTTCACCAGTGTTGACCATTGAAGTCTTGCTGCCTCACGTCCGTTCGATAGGAAGCGGATGAGAGACCACCTTCTCAATGTGTGATCTTTGGAGCTGCTATGTGAGCTGCTCAGTCATTGCTAGAAAGGGCGAAGAAACTTATCGCATGGACTTGTGGGTCGAAAGTTCCTGATGGAGCTTCACGAGACTCTTTGCAATTCTTGCATATTGATTGATTTCTCTGTAGTCTTGATATTGTTTTGCAAAGTACAAAAAGGTTAGGATATGTCAGATATGTTAGCCTGGTTGGGACAGTTTGGGACATGTGTTGGCTGTGTTGACATACCGCCGTGGGCCGCTTCAAGGTCCGAGAACTGCACGACGCAGATGTGCCTGGAGCTGATGGACCTCATTGGTGTGCGGGGCTGAGCAGGGCTGAGCACGACGGTGACGGTCGTGGAGAGAAATGTGGTCATATGTGGTCATTGTTGTCATCACATGATCGGTTCTTGCAGCTTGGGGTGTTCGGATGGTCTGTCTTGGATGTCTTGGGCTTCAATTTGCAGAATTTTTTGCAGAATTTGCGAATCTGTCCTGGTTTGCAAGGAGATGTGCCGAAAGAAAGCATTTGAAATTTGTATGTAACCTGGGGCAGGCTATATCTTGCCCGGTTGATGACAAAGGCCATGGCCAAGGGCGATATTCCGAAAGTTCCTGTGATCGTTCAGACAAGTCGCTCTGACATGTTTGAGAAATTTTGAGAACTATTGTCTGAATATGTCTGAATGTCTGAATATTCATGTCTGACCAACTGCGTTTGGCAAGGCTGGTTGTTTCAGAATGAGTTGCCGTGTCTAGAAGGGCTCTGGATCTACCAGTAATTTCGGTGATCCTGTACAATTGTGGAAGGAGAGCAAGGGCTCACCTTGGCATCGCAGTACCTTTTTTGTGAGCTGAGAGCCAGGGGGTGTTTATGGACGTCTTTGCGGTGACATTACCTATGGAAGCATGACTAGTGTCGCTGCAGCCAGCGCACTTAGATTTCATTCACAGTTGTGTGGAGAGTGCGTGTAGCTCGGAAAACTCGGGCAAGCATGATGCATGCTGCAATTCGGTCAATGATTGAATTGCTGGCTTCAAAAGCGTTATAAGTTGTAAATTGCAAAGCGATTGCAGTCATAATTTCCCATATCTGTGTGAATGCTGAAATAGGGTTGAAATGGGTCTTGGCTGTTCAACCTGAAGCACCAGGTAGTCGTAGCCTTTGCTGAGGTCACACTTTGGGGCCTCATTCGAACAGCTCGTTTGGACGGGGGGGTCCGATGGATGAAGTTACATGGTTTGAGTGAATGTGAAAAAAATGGCCTTCATTGAAGTAATTTATTCCCAAAATCCTCTGCTGTGGCAATCTCAAGTGTCCTGTATTTTGGGAGCTACGCTCAGGAGCAAGTCACAGGTCTTTCAAGCATGCTGGACAGTTTTGTGAGGGACCTCGTTGAAAATACGAAACCTTTCTGGCGCTGCCTACTAGATCCTGCAATCTGCCGTGTATTCTTCAGAGCCTAGTTGACCGATGGTTGTCCTTTTGTCGGTTGAAGCTGTCTCTCGGCTACGCCCGGTTCGAAACGAAGATAGCCAGGTTAGCCACTCCAATTTAAGCATATTTAAGCCGTGGGGTCATAACAGGAGATGCCAAAGGTCCCAATCCTGACGTTGGACTTCCAGCCCACCATGACTGTTGCACAGATCAGCAGGCGGAGGAATGGGGTCATGTGATGTCACAGTGATGTCACAGTGATGTCACAGTGATGTCATGTGACTACCCGTCTGGCCGAATGGATGCCAAGCTTTAAACAAGAGAATTCTCGGATTTACTGAGAAGCTGGAAGAGTTGTGCACACATTTGTTTAGTTCTTCTTACATGAATGTCCACCAAGACATGGTTTGTAAAAGCATACAAGTTTCAGCTGAACTCTTGATATTAATTATGCCTAAATCTTTTGTTGGAAGCATACGAGGCAGCTCAAGCCGGCCACGGGTGTTGTTGGATCCTCAAGTGCTTGTATCATCGACATGGGAAAGGGCACAAGCGACGTCGTTTGTCCAGAGTACTGCAACCAGGGTAAGAACTGTAGCAGCTCGACAGTGTCGGTTGAGGTAGTTTATTGTTATTTGTGGACTTTGTGATCTTTGTGGACACTGAAAGGAGCTTTCAACTTGTTAGCCACAAACAACTTGAGATGGGATGCACTGGGATGCGCAACACCTGAGGCAGAGACTGCGTATTACAACAAGAGTAGATGGGAGCCGCAGCTGGCCGCGGTGCCCTCCGGTGGCAGGGTAGAAATAACAATATAATTTCCAAGCGGACCTGGTGGAACGGATGAGTCCAGTCCAAGACTGATTTACTGGGTAGCTCCCTGAAAAGGTTGTTGGTGTTGTTTCTGGAGGTGATATGAGTTATGTGTGTGTACCAAGTCAGCTACTACTCGTACTCGGACATCCAAAGGCTGTGACCAAGAAACCAGCTGTACCTCTTTGGCCTTAAATTTGCAGAATCAACACCCATGCTGGTCATCCTCATATGAATTCAATGAAGAAAATCACTTGTCCTTCACAACCTGTTGCTTTTGCGGCGTGTAGACAGAGGGCCAGTGGTCCTGAGTTGTACGAGCTCCGCAGGTGCCATCCCTGCTCCGACGAGACTTGAAAAAGGACACTCTGAGCGTTGGAGGCTCGAGCCACGCCGCGTCGGCAAGACCCACACAACGCTTGTTTTTGGCTTGTTTGTTGGGAGGTCTGCTAAATACATGGTGAAATACATGACACCAAATCCATCCAAATCCATTAAATCCATTAAATCCATTAAATCCATGTACTAAATTTCTACATGATATCGGTAGACTTCGCTCAAATTACTCTCCTGGACAGGTGCGATCCCTCCAGGTGATGAGAGGAAGGCCAAAGCCGAGGCTACGAGAACCGGGTCTCAAAAGACATCGTTGTCTCAAACATTTGTTGATTTATTGGATAATATTGGATATTGCTGCTATTGCTTAGTTCAACATAGTAACATAGTTCAATAAATCAAATGGATTCTTAGTCTGACAGGGTTGGAATTAATGAAGGGGCCAGAAGTTTCCAACACTGCCAAATCATGAATAAGAGTCCATCACTGTATGACTGCCTTGCGGTGCCAAGTCTGTTTTCCCATTTCGAATCCACGCGCCTGTGAACTTGTCCCTCCGGCCGACTATGGATCACGGAATTGGAGCTGAGTGATAAATTACGGAGATATAGTTTACCACTCAGTGGACCATTCGCAAGATGAAAATGCCAAACTTTTCAGGACTTTGGGCCAATGTGACCCCACCTGACTCCACTTTTCGCAGGCGGCCACGAAGTTTGCACGAAAGGCCTTCACTTGGACAGGTGTGCGCGCCTGGATGGAAATAGGCAAGCTCTAAGAGCTTCACTGGAAAAAGAATAGACATGAATAGACGAAGTGGGTGTGCGTGTGTCACTTTTTCTTCAGTACAAGTTGCCAGTATGATCAAATATTGTGTTGATAATAGACCGCGCTTTATTCACTTTATAGAAATGTGTCACTAGTTACGCTTGAATAAAGTCCGCCTCACGTCCTTGGCCGGGAAGAGGATGCTTGGAAGGAAGTTCCTGCAGCTGTTTAGGTCCCACCAGCAAGATGGACTACTGCTGGTACCGGCAAGAGTGGCGAAACGCCAGGGTCCCGGTTGTTCAGCAAGAAGAGTGGTTGGGAAGCAACGGAACACACTCAACACACCTTTGTCATCTTTGGTCTCATAGGAGTGTTCTTGAAAACCGCTCTTGCAAAGTCTAGATGTGTTTTTTGGATGACATGGTTTGATACTTGGAATCCTGTCAAGGAAACTGAGTCACTGCAAAGGATTTGCACCATTCCTATGTGTTGCTCACAAGGCAGATCCTCTTCTTCTTGTTCTGACTTGTTCCCACTTGTTCTCTATGTTTTTGTAGCTTCATCATGCTCCACTTGTGTGAAAGGAAAGTTAGACGGCCGAAACCTAAGGTTGGACCTGCTGAGGGAGAAATCATTGCCGGAACCTTTGAAGCCGGCCATTGACCAACCTGTATGGGCTACTCTTTGTCGTCAAGTTAAAACAAGCACCAAAGGGAAGAACGGGAGCATGCAGCACCAAGAACTGCAAAGTGTTGGTTTCGCTTCTAAACGCTTGAACTATCTCAGATTGACAGTGACAGGAAATTTACCAATGGAGTCTATTGATAGTCACGACAGGGCACAGCGATTGCTAAGGCCCGGGATCCTTTGATTCCTGTGCGTTCCCTGCGGCAATACTGAGCGTAGCCCAAGCGGCAAAAAAATCTGACTTCAGGCCTTACAAAATTCAGAGAGAGAACCTTTCGCATTCCAACAAAACAGCTGAACATGTGTACAACAACCAGCTACATAAACACCGCAAAGACTCAGCGCCCAACTGCACTGCAGGGAGACCTCTGCTGAGAAAACTGGTTTGAGATTTGAGACACGTCACATGTTACATTTGAAGCAACAGTTTTCGTTTGAAGTGCAGCCAAGCAATGCCCAGGGCAGGCTTCTTGTGTTTAGATATCTTTAGATAGTGAGAGCCTCTTCCAAGGGTCGAATAGCGTGTTGCGTGAGGCGGAGTATGCAGAGAAGAAAGTGTGGGCTTAGCTGGATGCTACACTTAGTGGAGCTCCTGGGACAGCCGCAGTGACCAAGTGACCAAGTGACACGACAGTTGATGCTTCGCCATGGGGTGAACTGTCCGAGATGTTTAGCGGCAGGTCGGCTGAATGTTTCATTGATCAGACAACAACAATGCAGGGTTTCTCGATGTCGAAAGCGGTGAGGTGCTTTCGATATCGACAGAGCTGCTTAAAGTCGCTGGATAGCCTTCACTTCAGCTGGAGACAAGTTGATGCACACATAATCTGATTGTCCTATGTGCTCGCTTGCCTGTCTGGCTTTGGATGGCCGTGGCCATTTGCAGATCTGTGTGTTTTCTTCAATGCCGTGTAATAGTCTCGTGTGACTTTCTTTATACATGTTCAGTTCATTTCCCTTTCTTTTTATGCACATGTCCCACATATTGCAAGAGACGTTCTTAAGTGCATAGTGATGGCACATCGACCGGCAGATTTTGATTCAGTTCAAATACGAAAACCAGGTGAAGACTGGTTTGAAGACCAGATTCTGGCAACTTAAAAAAGAAAAACAGTCAGTTGGGCTCTGCTCAAGTTGCAACACGCAGAGATTTGCTGCGCAATGTCGAAGCAGGAGGCAGTGGCATGAGCAGAGTTTTTTGCAGCGGAAATCAGCACTCAGTTCATTCAAATGCATTGTTTGAAAAGGGAGTGGGAGGACTTGAAATTGTTGCACGTAGCACATATTTAATATACTCTAGACATCTATAGACTATAATAGACTATATTTGTAGACTGAATCTCAAATTAATACTGGCAAAGGTTTCCGAGGCATGTGGCAATGTTGGACTTATTCGGCTTATCCCATTCGGTAACATGGCAATATTATGGGACTTTGGACATGAAAGCCTTGTGCTTCACAGGACTTTGAAATCGAGTTCAAGAGGGCTTTGTCCAGCCAGGCACAGGGCTGAGGAATGAGCTATAGGGGCTATAGGGTGCCATAGGGTGCCTTCAACCGAAGCACCTAGAACACTGCCCAGACAGCTACTTTCCATATTCGCCAAGGGTTTTCTTCAGATCAAGAATCTTGACTCCCTAACTGCCCCTGCTTGGGTATGTCCAGAAATGCCCTGGCTGTTCCTGCTTCAGGAAGCAACAAGGCTTGATGTGCGGTCCCCCGGTGAAGCTGACAGCACTACTGCAGGACTTGACTACAATACAGTTAATAGTTAATGTTAATATATATATATATACATACTAGATTTTTTTTGGATCTGTGTAACAATCTTGAAAGAATTTGTGCCTTTTGCACTATAGAATTATGGCACCAAACTTCTTCCAAGTTGACAACAGAGTTTGACAAGCTTTCCAAATCAGTGCCTTTAGGTTGTGAAAGAACGTCTTCGACACAAGGCATGGCTTGGGATGGGGAAGCTCCATACATCGAGAGACGCCGCGAAAATCGGTGAGACACCTGACACAAGAAGAGACCTGCTCAGGCGGATCCAAACCAAGAGTTCCTTGCAGGGGACGCAGCCAACGCGTCAGTTCCCCAGCATCCATAGCCGTACGTCAAGGGTTTGTATTTGTTCAGAGACGCATCCTACTTCTGGTGCTTGCTCCCAGTCCGAGTTCGGAATTCCTCAGAAAGCTTCTCCTGGAGTCGCTTTTTGATCTTTTTGAAGCTGCAGCCAGGCCCCTTCTGATTCCATTCTCCCGCTTCGACTCCTCTCCTTTCCTCCATGCATGTTAGCATACTTCAGTATATTTCAGCTTGCAATCTGAGGCCGTCCTCCCTGTTGCAGCTCGCTTTGGGCAATGGAGACGCTGAACTTTGTGCAGTTCTCAGTCCCTGTGTGTCTGAGTCCAGCAAAACAGCCGGCACATCTGGCATTTGTGCCATGGTGCCACTGTGCAGCGCGGCGGAGTAAGCTTTAACCTGAGCAGAGGTCCCCCCGATCAAAAGAAAACAGCTCGGCAAAAGCTGTGGACTTTGGTCACTTCATGGACTGGATCTGCCACACTGAGGCCGTTTGCTTTTGTTGCACCAGGCCCTTCGCAGTGCGTCAATTCGTCTTCAATTTGAACACGAATAAAGTACCCGGTCCAAAAACAACTCAGACAGTCTCTTAATGGCATTTTTGGCATTCGCCATGCAGGAATAGGCCCCAAGGCTGCTTTGGAAAACAATGCTGTGACCAAAAACCACGGTGTCCAGCCAGCCATCAAGCCATAGCTCTTTTTGGGTACCCCAGACTGGCCCCAGACCGATCTGCTCGAAATTTCAGCGATGCCGTGCTTCTTCCTGGAAATAGGCAGACACGCAAGCAGTGCTGAATGAAGCGCAGGAAATGCAACTTGGCTTTGGTTCTTGGCCCTTTTCGGCCTGTCCATCTTGCAGAGGTCGTGGTTGAGCTGCTTCTATTAAAAAAAATTCTCGTCATCCGACTACAGAGCCAGCTATGCGTGCTGTTCGCGCAAAGGTCCTGCAAAGAAGGAATGAGGGAAGCGGCCGAAGTCATCCTAAACTGGGTCAGAGCCTGGGAAGTTTTCCCCGGAGAATTTGTTGCAAGGCAATGTTGATATGAAGCTTCGGGGTGACTCCTCGCTAGTTCAGTTCTTCATTTGTGCCTTTCTCCTCTGGGAACTGCAAACAGGTCAGCAATGACTACACTTTGGTGTTGAAAATCCTGGAGGAGCGTGGGATTGGTACGTATGTTAATCATTCGCAATGCTTCTGCCATGCAGAGTAGCTAATCAGCGGGACTGCCACAGATAGATGTCCAGCATTCTAGAAAGGTGCATTGGAAATCGTTGGAGGATGATCTCCTCATCTACAGTTCTTCGAATCGTGGAAAGGGATAAATCGGATAAAATCAGTGACCTTCAGATTTTCTGTGGAACAGTCGAACTGCAGTTGGACTTCTGCCAGCGAGTGGTGGGATTGGCCAACTTCGGGCACTGCCGGCACTCTGCCTGTGCTAGGATGCTGCACTCGACGCGGCCAAGTCCCATGACATCCATTCGCTAGGCCCCGCCTTCGGCAAAAGAGATGGATCCAGGAACATTCGTCGCTGCTTTCTTTCTTGCCGAAAGATGTAGGCAAAGACACCTTTAGCGTTGAACCTTTACTGTATTTTGATGTTGCAACACCTAAGTTCCCATGTTTGAATTGCTTTGTCAAAAGATGTTCACAGCTTAGTTTCCAATAGCCTTGTATCCACTTGACATCATCCAAAACTGGTCGGCTAAAAGCCAGCGATGTCCAGATGTCCTCTTCAGAAACTGCGGAGCCTTGCCCCGAGGCGTAGCGTTGGCATCCTTGGAAGTGGCTGGTGGAGACGGGGAAACTTGTGTCTCCAAGCAACGAGGCGAGCCACAGGGGCAGGGCGCATTCTCTGGAATTTGAACATACCAATAAAATCAATACCGCCAATACCCGGAGTTTGTGCAAAGAACTCTCCTCTGGCTGTTCACTACTTCACTACTGTTCAAAGCAAATCTTCAATTGCAGTGTGGCTTCAACAATTCTCTTTCAAAAAGCTAGTCTTGGAATAACCTTGATTCAAGATGCCTTTTAGCCAAAGCCAACCCTTGATTCCGTTGTTTCCCGGCTTCCACAGTAAGCATCAACAAAAAGCTGGCACCATCTTTCAACACCGCTTGTATCAGATGCGAAGATTTGTGCATTTGGTCACTCGTCTGCGCGGCTCGCTCTTGCTGATCAGGAAGCTGCGGCAACCTTCTGCACTCCTGCGCCAGAAATGCAGGTCGCTGTACAGTTCCAGTAAGAAATCTCCAGGGTCAGCCAAATTCTCAAAAAAAGCATGCAGCGCAATACCATGATGATAAGTGGATTGGGTCTTCCACCAGTACGTCTACAACTCGCCTCAGCCAGGCTTAGCAGCTTTGCGAGGTTGGGATCTTAGTCATTTTAGGAGGCGCCTTGAGTGAGACCTGCTGAAATCATCTTAAATAAAAATTACTGTAACTGCTTCCAGGGAAGAAGACCCTGGCACTGCAAAATGAATTTAACTGTGAAGTCGCTGAAATTTAAAGGTAGAGTTATGTTCTTGATGTTCTTGCAATGGCTTCGGACCCTGCCATGCCAGCTGCTTTTTGCTCGGGTGGAGTTTCAGATTAGAAAGACAATTTCGATACGTAATTATATGTTCTTTTTGACTTGGCAGGCACGTGACTGTGACAGTCATGCTGATTTTCGTAATGTGCTACAGTAGGTATTGTGCATCATAGACTGGATTTGTATGAAATAGATTGAAATAGTAGCATGGAAATGGATCCGAATCACTCCTCAAACTTCTGCTTTTGGACTTCCTTTTAAAGTGATGTAGTGAGACTTCTGTGAAAGGATTACACATCCAGGAATGATGTGCAACGCAATTGCACGACATTTTGATTCCCGCGTCTTCAAGGCCGCCAGGGTGGCATGTCTGCCAGAGCAACAGCACGGGCTCTCATTGGTTGGGGTCCGGGTTCTCAGAACTCTGAGGGTCTCAGAGCCAAAGCCTGTGATGCTTGTGATAGGCTGGTGTACGCTTCTGGGTTCTGGCAAATCCTTTCAATCCCTTTGCATACTTGTGTGTCTTTCCTTGTTCTCACAGATTCTCACAGCACTCTACAAGGAAATGACTAAAAGGTGAAAAACAACTTGTAAAAAAGGTGATTTGGCTGTGCTGAAATCCAAAAAGGCAAAATATAGGTGAAAAAAAGGTACCTGGGAATACGAAAAACATAAGGAAAATCATTGAGGACAGCAACCATGCAAGCCTACCACACAGGTTTAAATTGCAAACCAACACATCATTTTGTCCATGACGTGTCATGCGGAGTCTCGGTCAGGAGGCTTTCCTTTCTCTGGCTTTCCGATTCACCCTTTTTTCACCTTTTTTATTCATTTTTTTTTTTCACATTTTTCACCTTTTTCACCTTTTTCACCTTTTTCGCTGAAAACGTGAAAAAAAAGGGTGAGAAAAGGTGAACAAAAAGGTGAATCGGAAAGCCAGAGAAAGGAAAGGAAAAGGAAAAGGTAGAAGAAAGGAGCCTCCTGACCCAAGGGGTCACCCCTGCTGACCTCTCTGTCATCCCCCCATCCCCGCGCTCCGCCTCCCTCGCTAGCTTGACTCCCGCTGCCCAGCCTCCACCTGGAAACATGATAATTCATAGGTGATTTATGATACAAATGGGTTCATAAATGAACTTATATTATAAGT